GGCAGGCGGGCGGGTGGGTGAGCGGTGGTGGCGGCTACAGTGACGATGAAATGGGCGTGGCGCAGGGCATGACGGCTCTGGCCACCGCGATGGGAGTGAAATTGGGAAGGCTGATGAAGATAGGGATGATGGGGGAGGTACTGGGAATTATAACGAAAGCACTGGCACTGCAAAAGACTGGCGGTGGCGGCGGCGGTGGTGGTTGTGGTGGTGGTGTTGATGGCGGCGATGCTGATGATGTAGGTGATGAATGTGGTAATGGTGATGTTTGAAAATAGTATACGTATTGGCGATGATATTGATGTTGATGATAATGATAAGAGTGATGGTGATTTAGACGATGTTGTTAGCGATGGTTTTGATTATGGAGGAGGTGTTGCAGATGCTGAATGTGGTCAGAGTTGTTACCATTTGAATTGTTCAATTCATATAGTATATACTCAGATATGCATAACTGAAGCAATTATATTAATAGACTAGTCGATTAACTTTTGGTCCCATTTCTGCATAAACGATGTAAAAATGTCCGATATAAATGTAATCAAATCCGTTCCATCCACTCGCGGAGGACGGTTAGCACTAATTGCCACAAATCGGGAGAGATGGCTCAGGGCATCAACTGATGTCACTGCAGTCCCTCTGATCGGGAAATCCTAGGTTCAAGTCCCGGCGGTGGTAGGAGTTTCGACACTATCATGTCATCTAGTTCGAATTCAGTCGCTGTCTGGAGAAGAATTCTTGCGGTCGACTCTGATTGGTTTTTCTTGTTTTTTCCGCGCCATAACAGGCGAATGCCGGAGCAGTACCCAAACGAACGGGCAGCAGACCGCGCACGATCTTTCCTACCTCTTCTTTGCCCTATCCTCACCCCTTACACACACGTACACTAAAATGCACAACACTACCATACATGCCGGAAGACCAGTCGGGAGCTAAGAGCTTGTCCCTGCAGGGGCGGTGCTCGACTGGTGGGCGATATCTGGTTGGGAAAACCTCGCTAGACGACAGTAGGTCGGCACAGGATCTCGCCATTCAGTGGGGGAAGACCACCTCCACCTCCCTAACAATAACAAGCACTATACCTACTAATTACCTTAATTTTCAATACCTACTAACTACCTTACCTTTAGGACCAATTACCGTAGTTTTGACGAGCCCAGAATAACTAACAATCAGTCAATCAACCAACTGCTACAAGAAATTAGCCGACGAAGGGCAGACAACACAGGTTGAAAACTAATGGGTGTCCACACCGGACTACTTCGACTAAGAAACCGTAGGATTTGAAAGTGTGCCGAAGTTCTTTCCCCCGCAACCCTAGAACTACCGTTAATTCGACATTGACAATCAGATGTGGATGAGAGAGTCGTGACGAGCGACCACTTGTGATTCAAAGTCAAATAATCGAACTAAATAATCCAAAATTTTTATCGATGTGCAAATTAATCAGTCTAAATATAGTTTTCGTTGCATGGATTAATGATATAAAACAATTGATTGTTGAACTAATCCGGAAAACATCGTCCATTCATTGTGGTGTTGAGATCTCAGCGAATCCTTCCCGCCTAGCTAGGGTAGGGTCCCGCCCCTAGGCGGAGCGATACATTCTGTGGTTCCCACTTTCAAATTCTTTGTCAGAGAGGAAAAGGACGTGTGCTAAAAAATTACCGTTCACACGTATTACTGGTTCTTAGAAAAAATTTATTTGCAAACAGAATTTAAAAAGAAAATGAACATGAAATAAAGAAATAAATTATATTGTTTATAAACACAATTCAAACTTTGATTGTTTGATAGAAAACATCAGGCAGATGAATTCGTATAAAGCATCGCGTTCAGATATATTGAGCGCACTTTGTACTAGTTTCCCTACTACACGTGTACACTACTCCCTGATTCTGTAGGATTTGTACGGGAAATGAGAAGGGAGTCGTGGAAATATGCCGGTACTCGCAGGAGTGTTGGGCTTTCCTGGTGGGCATACGCGGGAGCAGATGCTGTGCTAGCGGTACGACGATATGCATGGTACATGCGAATCACGATGTTTTTTGTGTAATTGCACTGGGGGGTGGGTGAGAAAAGTGTTCGTGAAATGCCTGACAATGACAAATGAAGGAGTAGCTTCCTGATGTCACCGCGCTGCACTTTTAGTGTTGATTATTTAATGGAAGAGAAGATACAGTGTCATAGTCATGAGTAGGGGCGGATTTTTATGACCTAAAACATCGCCAAAAATGATCAATAAAATGATTTTAAAATGCCATAAAAGCAAAGAAAATGACGGATAATATGTGATCAAAACCAATTCGGATGAATAATTCAAGCTGTTGGATACGTTAGTGAAGTAATCGAGGCTTCTTTGATTTGTTCAAATGAACTCAGCTTCCAAACTTTTGGCTTCGACTGTTCTTTACTAGAAAATTCCTGTCTTTAGTTACAGTTATACAGTTATAAACAGCTGAACCGCCAATGGCGCTGACAGGAACCTTCGATTTCATACTCACAATGGATGGCATTACAACTTTTGAGAAAAGAAATCGAATAGGCTACAAGGTAGAGGTTCTCAAGTATTCTTGTGTAGCAGAACATTTGTTGCATCTCTTAAATGTTATTTGAAGTAAATACTATTAAAATTATAATTAAATGTACGAAATTAGCAAAAATGCTTTAAAAATGACGGTAAAGGTTAGAAATGACTTAATGAAAAATGCAAAAAATGGCGTATAAAAATCGGTAGTTTCCTTTTGCATAAAATAAATGATTATGAATTCTAAACGGCATTTTTCTAAAGCGAAACGAAAACAATGACATTTCATTAAAATCGCACCATAGTCATGAGAATACTTCCTTGGCAGAAATTGTGGATGTAGGTAGTGAAGGGAAGAACGAAGTGATAAAAAATAATGATACTGTTCAAATGACATTAACAATGCAAATACCAAACTACCTTTTGAATTCCTAGTCTGAGTCCGCGACCAGTCTTCGAGTGCTTTTGGCTGTCCGAGTACGCCGCGTCGAAGGCTCAGATGCCAACCAAACATGCAGGTTTCATGCGGGAGGCATCACTGCTTTCGATGCGGCTTCACCGGGACAACGACGAGCACTCACAAGCCAGCGGTTGTTGAAAAGGTCACCGGATTACCGGCTCGCAGACGACAAGGATGGACAATAACATTATAACATACATTTTTTTTCATTGTCATAGCAAAGTATGAGTAGGTATTTCTTCCAAAATGCAGGCTATCCTTCAATGATTTTAATGCAGTTGCGAAGTACGAACTCTTTTTTTAGATGTGTAAGATATTTTCCTGGTTTTAATTTCATAGT